ATAGGGTTTTTGAAGCTGTAAATCTTTATAGAAACAGAAAGTCTCCTCTGTCTCCCAAAGAGCGGCTGGTGTGTTTGAACTGCCAACCTTGCGATTAACAACCCAGTGCTTATTTTAAAGCACCACCAGGGCTCCTTTATATTACAACTTGTTGTTGTTAGGTGCCTTTGAGTCCATTCCAACCCAGAGTGGTTTAGTACACAACAGAACTAAACCACTGTCTGGTCTTGCCCCATCCTCACAGCTGTTGTGTTTGAGCCCATTGTTGCTGCCACTGTGTCAGTCCATCTTGTTGGGGGTCTTCCTCTTTGTGTTGACCATCCACTTTACCAAGCATGATGCCCTTCTCCAGGAACTGGTCCCTTCTGTCATCATGTTCAAATTGTAAGTCTCATCATCCATGCTTCTAAGGAACATTCTAGCTCTACTTCTTCTAAGACAGATTGGATCATTCTTCTGAAAGGTGTTTGAAATATGAAATTGCTTTTAAAAGTGCGGTGTGTGATATATGTTCAAATTATGAATATATCGCACCGGAATGGTACTGTCAATATTCTTCACCAACACTATAATTCAAATGCACTGTTTCTTCTACAATCTTCCTTATTCATTGTCCAGCTTTCAGAAATGATTGAAAATATCATGGCTTGGGTTAGGCCCACCTTAGTTCTCAAAGTGAAAAGGTCTTTTTGTAACAGATTTGCCTTAGATGATACCAAGGGATTATTATTAAATTTATGTGTGAAAATGGAATTGTAATTATATTTTTAAAATCTGTTAGAAATACATGCTGCTATTAAGGGTTAAAATTACAGAGCGTGAAGTTTTTTAAAAATATATAAAAATGACAAAAGAATCCATCTGGATGGCAGATTCATGGAGATTCACTGGGATATTCTGTCTACTTTTTTTACATTGGACACCATTTTTTCAACAGCATGTGCTCACTTCGTGCAACTGTGTCACATTTTTTGTTGATTCTCGCAGTATTTCAAACTTTTTCGTAATGCCGTTGCACACTTAATAGACTATGGTGGTGGTGGTAATGTGCCGTGGAGTCGGTTCCAACTCATAGCGACCCTGTACAGGGTTTCCGAGAATATACTAGGAAACCACAGAATGTGTGTGCCTCATTTTATTGTGACGTTTGCTTTATTGCGGTGGTCTGGACCTGAACCCACAGTATCTCCCAGGCATGCCTGTATTTCACTGCATAGTGACATAGTTGTCCTTGAAATACCTGCTCTAAAGGAATATTGGAAACAAGCCTGGATAAATAAAATGTGGAAAATCATCCCATAGGAATAAATGGAGTGTTAACCTATTTCAAGGAAAGAAATTTGTCAGTGTATTTAAACTTTGAGAGACAAAAAAAGACTCTTGAAAATAAGCCAAATACTAAAGGAACATCTTGCTTTTCCCCAAGTCTCCATTGCTTCTTTTTTTGTTAACTGCTTACGAACATTACTAAAAATTGACTACCCCTAATTTGGTACTTGGAGTTCTGGTGTGGCACTGTGGGTTAATTCTCTGGATTGCAAAATTGATTTGAACCTCAAGGTCGAACATTAAAGCTCACCAGCTACTACTCAGAAACCCTATACAGGGTCACTGGTGGTCGGAATCGACTCGACGGCACTTAACAACAAAATTTCGTGCTTGTATAGTGCTGAGGGATTAGCATTGGACTTCGAACCACAAGATAGGCAGTTCAAACGCACCATCTACTCCTTGAAAACAGGGTCACTATGAGTTGGAACAGGGTTGATGGCACATACCAACAACAATTTGGTACTTAAGGCATCCTGGTGGTGGTGCAGGGTAAGAACTGAACTGCTGACTGCAAAACTGGCAATTAAATCCACCAACCTCTCCGGAGAAAGATGAGGCTTTCTGCTCCTGTCAGTTTGTCTTACTGTGGTGGCTTGCATGTTGCTGTGATTCTGGAAGCTATGCCATGGGCATTTTAAATACCACCAGGATCATCCATGGTGGACGGATTTCAGCTGAGCTTCCAGACGAAGACAGACTAGGAAGTAGGACAGGCGGACTCCTTCAGAATGTTTAGTCACTGAAAATCTTATGGTTTCAGTGGAACACTGTCAGCACCAGAATATTGAATATTGAAACATGATGAAAAGCACCAGAATATTGTCAGATATTGTGCCGAAGATGAG